TTTGAGGGTTTACTATTCAGGCCCGCCTGCTTCATACAAGTAAACACCTCATCCAACCTCTCTATGTGATCCTCAAGGGTTGGTGTTGACATCACGACATCATCTAAGTAACACATGATGAGATTCCCGTATTTCTTAGTCACGATCGTGAGTGCCTGGGCCATGAGTCGCTGGAATGTGGCCGTCGCGTTACACAATCCAAACGGCATCCTCTTCCACTGGAACAGTCCCAGTTCGCATGCGAAGCCCGTTTTCTTCCGATCTTGCTTTCTGAGTGGCACTTGCCAGAACCCGGAGCCCAAACCCAACGTCGTGAAGAACTTCGCGTCCCCCAGCTTGGAAAGGCTCTCATCAATGCGGTGAATCGCGTATGCGTCTTTAAGCGTTACTGCGTTCAAGTAGCGGAAATCACAGCAAAACCTGAGTTGCCCCCTTTCTTTTTGGTCATTACCCCGCCGTAAGTCCACGTGAATTTTGACGGCTCGATCATATCGTACTCCATTAACATCTCGATTTCTTTTCTGCATGCCTCCGATTTATGCGGGGTCATTCTTCTCGCTCCTTCCCTATGAGGTACCGAGCCCTCTTCTATCTCATTCTCATGTTCTAAAAAATTACACCAACCTATGTCAGCCTTGTGCTTCGCAAAAACGTCTGCATTCCGACTTAACACCGCCCTGAGCGAATCTAGTTCCTTGTCTGATACTTTACCCCTCAGATGCTCTATCTCGGGTAGGACCGGTTTATTTGCTGCTAAATCTGTCTCAGTCGGTCTCTCTGGAAAGTTTGAACAACTAGACAACCCATCATCTGTCTCCGATTTCATTGAAAACAGTTTCCTGGAAGATTTCAATTCAATTACTCTCTTCAATATACATTCTTGGTTAGCATGCCAAGGACATTTAGTTACATCAAATTTTTTCATGTTCTCCACACTCTGAAAGTCTATGTTCAGAGGCAAAGCATAGCCAAGTTTCTTTCCCCTCTGCATTGTCACTGTTGTTGCTTCTGTGTTCAACAACACACTCACACACAGTCCGCTCTGAGTGACCGAGAAGCTTCTTCCTAAAATAGCCGAGCTTTTACTGTTTGGATTTGGTACCAGACACACCTGTCTGTCATTGCTGAGTTCATTCAAGTTCCTCATCCTAAACGTCGCTATTACGGCTTGGTTTGTTTTCAATCTAACTTTTCGATCCAAAAAAATTGGCACCTTGGCCTGGTTAATTAAGATCTTATTAAGAGGTTTCTTTTCATACTTTGTCTCAGGATCGTTGATCCTAATCAACCCGTCATTGAGATCGATCGTGACGTCAAAGTTGCGTACGAAGTCCCTCCCTAGGATGAACTGATCGGATTCATCCCAATTCTCCACTACTAGGAAGCTCATTCAAAGTTGCAGTGAAATGATCGGGGTTCGTCCAGTCACATAGATCGCTCCCTGGTTGGCAGCTGCCAACCTGATGTTTGTCGGTATGAGATCCGATCTCTCGAAACCCATGTCGGTTCAGGTTTTCACTGGCATGACACTGACCACTGCTCCCGTGTCTAGTAGTCCCTTACTGAAAGTTGTCTGCCTTGCACATCCAGCACGTGTGCGGCCAGATCGGCCTCACAACCTATGTGCACCGCATTCTGTTCGAGCATGGCATGATGTCCGATTCGTCTAACCTTCAGCTCCTCTTGACCAATCTATATCCGGCCAATCTGATCAATCGCATCAGTTACGTGAGCTTTTGTGTAGATATTGATGCCATCCACATTCATCAGAATCGGGTATGGGCCATGGACTTCGATGTAGTGTCCATCTACTCTCATCAGTCTCGGACCTCCTGTCGTGAGCAGCGCTCGCACTGCCCTGGAGTCTAGTTTGGGATCTTTCTCCCTCAGGTAGTCTGCATAAATATCCAGGTGGACTAATGTAATCTCGGATGGCTCACTCAAGTTCTTAACCACCTGGTGTCCTGCGACTGAGATGATGGACATTATCTTCTTCCCTTCCTTCGTCATGCCGAAAGTTCTGCCAGATATAACGTTCAGTTTTAGTCCCTGCTTGCTGGGTTCCTCTTTGTGTTCTTTTTCCATCGTTTTACCCAGAATATTAAAATTTTCCCGAAGATCCGTGCTCTCCAGTTCCGACCTTACCCATTGCTCCACTTCTTTTGTGGCCAGCTCCTGTTTGACATTTTGCAACGCTGTTCTTGCTGACTCTGCCTCCAGGTTCGAGGCTACCACCCCGTCGGGCAAGGTGTTCACCTTCTTAGTCATAAAGGTGCTCGGTGTCGTCTCCTTTCGCCGAGACTCGGCCTCATTCATCAGTCGTGCTCGACTGGCCTTGACACCCGAAAGCGCCTCTTCGTGGCGTGGATGTTTCGCGTTCGCCACTGCATCCCAAAACTGAGTGCAGTCCGACTTGAAGTGTCCTTCCAAGTTGCAGAAGAAGCACCTCGGACCATATTTCATGATGAGCCCTCTAACGTACTCTTCGTGATCCTCGTCGGTCGCGTCGACGTCGTCGAGGAAGTAGCCTATTGCCTTCATGTTCTGTTTGTATGCAGAACACGAGGAAACGTGATGGTCCATCGAACCACAATTCGCACACGACCTCCTCTTGTCCATGTCTTCGCGAGGTTTGTACCAACTGGAGTTCGCACTAGTGTTTGTCCCGCTGTAGTTACCATAATTGCTGTAGCGGTTTTGCGCCCTCGGTAGATATTCTCTCATCGGGGTTGCTTCTCCTCCTAAGCAGCTCGAGGTCGTCCAGAAATTTGTCTATGGACTCATCATCCCTTTGACGCCTCTTCTCAAACTTCACCATAGCCTGGTGTCCTTGTACTCCAGAGCCGAAACGATTCAGCAGGATGTCAAATATCTTACGAGCGCTGTCCCGTTCGTTGGCCCTCTTCGCCATTACAAAATTCAATGCAGTACCCTCTAGGTTGCTTGTTAGCGCGCTGCACTCTTGCTTCTTGGTGAGACTCTCTTCCTCATAGTGCAACTTCATCACTTCTATCCAAGTGTCAATGCAGCCGTCTGACTGGTCTTTGTACGACTTCGGTTTCTTCAGTGTCCTTCTTGACCTCTCTCCTCTATCGGTTGACTTCGAGAGCTTAGTGATGAATGTCTCGAGAGATCTATTCAGAGGCTCAAACATCGAGGCATACATCGTCGTGTCCTGTGAGACCGTGGTCAGATCTGGCACTGAACAGACTTGTTGCACAGTTGGCAACCTTGTCTCCGGAGTAGCACCTGCCTCCGGCGGGACCGGATTCGGCCAGCCAGGCCTCGACGGGGGTGGCCTTGGCCGCTCCGTATTCCTAGGTTCGTAGTTCGTCCTCAAACTTTGCTGGGCCCTGGCATAGCTGCACGTACCATCTCCATCATTCGCATGGCGTGCGCGCTCCCTTGGGTTGGAACGCTCCTGCCAATTGCTCCCATTAAAGATCTCGTCAAGCTTCCGCATCATCAGGTCAGATTTAGCATCTAACCTTTTTTCCAGGCTAGTCATCGTATGGGCGTAGGTTTTTATCATGATCGTTCAACAATCGCTCGATCTCTCTCGTCATCCTAGCCTCTCTTTCTTCTGACTCCTTGTTTGCCTGTGCCAGGCTCTCCACCAGGCCTTGATCGGTGTTGCGAATCAATTGAGCCTGATCAACCCTCGCCTGCGACTTCACGTGCGTTAGTTTATCTCTCAAATTCTCTCGACCCCGGTGAGCTCTCTCGTCGACTTGATCTATTCTCTTAGTCATGTCTCAATTCATCCAGGCCATTCATTACACCAGCGAACATGTCACTTATATCGCCAGTTGCCCCCAATGGCGGGGTTAGCCCCAGAGAAGATGAGGTCAACTGCGGCTGCAGCCTGGTACTTGATGACGCACCGCCTTTTTGCTTGTGCATCGACGTCATCAATCTGTCGAACGTTGATGACACTCCCATCGTTATCCCATCCGACATGGGCCTGGTCAGCGAGGCGGACGACGCCTTCCTGCTCATGTCGTTCCTTGGGCACGGTGTGAAGTTCACATCCGGATGGGTTATCTCCGGTTGGTCATAACTAGAGGATAGACCTTCGGCTTGTAGTGACGCCATTCGCTCATCATACAAAGACTTCCAACTCTTTTTGGCCTTCGAACCCGGTTGTTCTTCACTCGGGCTTATACTCGACATCATCGCGTTGTTGCTCTGCTCGGCCAGAGATGAGTGGGTATTAGCTGGATGTGAATTTTCTCTCCTCCACTTATGACTCTTGGTCTCCGATTTGGACATTCCCTTGAATAACACTTCCTCTCGCGGCTCGACCTCGGAACGCTCCGAGGTCTCCTCCGTCCTCTCGACTTCCTCCCGCTCGAGGTCCTCGTCTGGCTCAAAGTCGGGTCGAATGAGCGTTCGTTCCCCTTCGTCAAAGGGATCCACAAGCGATTCGCTCGCGAGCCCGGCCTGGGCGCTCCGCCCTTGATCGCCATCGAGGTTTTTCTCGCTCCTTAGTTTCATTTCGCTCACTGAAAGATCAGGTTGACCTTTATTCGATTCGTTTTCAGCAAACGCGTCGGAAGCGCTGCTAAACGAGGACTGGCTACGCCTAGTTTTAATTTTTCGCGTGCTTCCCTTGCTTAGCCTGGGAATCTTAGTAGCCGATCCTAACGAGTCCCTGCGCTGCATACTTTTTAACAAACAATAATATTCGTATAATTTAATGGCGATATACACGTACCGCAAATAAGTTCAGGTTAATTTGCTTTACACTACCTACTCGATCTCGTGAATATCAAAAATGTCTCTTAGCTTTCTCAATGACAATATTAGTGACTCAGCTAAAGTTACACACAGGGTCTACTCAGTATTGATATAATGCTAACTCAACCCCGTTGTATAGTATAACAGTATCACAAACTTTTCACAAGATATAATCAATACGCAAAACACAATTGATAACCAGATAAGAAGGTCCTATAGGTGACAGTGACCTTTCGTCAGTATCATTTTACCCCCGCACTCTTATTAAATCACTGCTTTGTTAGAATCAAACAATCTTTTGTAAAAAGGCAGTGATGATTCAGGAATGGATGAGATAAGTAAAACTTAGTCTTAAAGAAAAAGACTTCCCTCAATCGGAACACTCCAAAAGAACGAAGCCCAGGACACTGTCTTCTCAAATGAGTGTGTATTGGCCTAATACACTCTCCGAGGTCTTCTTTTAGGTGCCCTGCGATTGCCCGAGCTGTCCTACTAAGTAGCTCAAGGCAACCTCTGATCGAAAATTTCTAAAGTTTATGAAAAAGCTCCCCCACAACCGGAACGCTCCAAGTGCACGAGAGCAGGGAACAACTTCTCTTCTCAGGTGAGTGTGTATCTACCAAATACACTCACCGAGGTCATCTTTTATTTGATCCCGGATTGCCCGAACTTTCCTATTAAGTAGCCCAAGGCAACCACACAACCAAAATCACAATCAGAAAAAATTTGGTTCGGGTACTTCTGATACACCCGATCTAGAATCCACAGTTGATCACAAATTTCCGGATTAAATGGGCTCCTATGATCCTAGTAAGCACGCCTAATATCCTAATATGATCCTTAATTAAATGGATATTTTCCGTTTCCCAAATTGCCACAGAAGGTTTCCTCAAGTTTCTAACAAGGAGGGTTGTTAAGAGGTCTAAGTCACTCCGGAGGGTTACTTCGGAGGGTTGTTAAGACACTTGGCCCACTTCGGAGGGTTCCTTTTCACTCAATAAGGAGGGTCAATAAGAGGCTTATTGTGCTCCGGAGGGTTACCTCGGAGGGTTCTTCCAAAATTTTCAAATTTTTCAATCTCACTTAAAAGGGTCTTCCACTAGCTTCAAAAAGCGTCAAAACAAGCTAAAAGCTATATGGGGGGTTGTCTCACTTTCTTCGGAGGGTCCCGTGAAAAATTTCCACTAAGGAGGGTTGCTAAAGGGCTTAAGTCACTCCGGAGGGTTGCTCCGGAGGGTTCCGCAAAAATCAAGAAAAAGGGTGATTTTACCGCAGTAAAGCCTCCGTAAGCGGTCTACCTGACTTAAAACTAGGTTGGCTGACACGGTCAACCTTCCCAGCAGGATAAAAAGATGATTTTATAAAATTTTATGCCGCTCGGAGGGTTCCCTGTAATTTGGACCCTCCGAACCAACAAATTCTAAAAAAATTTTCTTTTCCGAGACTATCAACCCAAAAACGCTTGCGGTCCGGAAAAGTGGTCAAAAACGTCGACTTATGAGACCAAAATTATCCCGATGGGTTGGCTAGTCTTTGAGAAATCGCCAAAAACGCGTTCGTCAAAATGGCCTTTTTTCACCACCTATATAGGTTCTGAAAAACTTTTTCCGCAGTTCTCAGTGAAAGTGCCCAAAAATAACTGAAACGAGCGTAGTAGCCCTGTACGGCACTGGAATAATGCAAAAAACCGCACCAAAATTGGTTTGGAGACAAAAATGTGGCCAATAACTATCAAATTTGGACCCTCCGATTCCTTCCTTTTCCAATCTTTAAGTCGTTCGCTCTATCTACGGAGCTAATCGGAGGGTTACTCAAGAATTTTTCTGGCAGCCGAGCACGTTATGCTAGCACGCTCCTAACACAAAAAATTTTATTGCTCTAACTCTAAAAACTCAAAAACTCGATCCCCAAAACAGGTTGACAAAATTCAGAAAATTATCAAAATTTGGATCAAAAATTTTCGTTTTTCCTAACCTCTACTGAGTCTTTTCTCACGCGGTTTCTTTAGTTAGGGGGATCGAACTACGTAGCTACTCCCTATATAAAAGCTCGGATAAGTTTTATAAATAGAGATAATAACCTATTAGTAGTCGTTAAAAAATATTACTATACCCTCCTTTGCACCAAAATACCCGAATTAAGACCCTTAGCTCGGAAAATTGTAATCGATGGAGGGTACAATCGGACCGCGCCAATCGTGCCCCCCACCACTTAAGCTTTAATGAAATAAAACCCGAACGATACTAAAATTGCTTCAAAGATACCCAACAGTCGTTGTGGATGTTGTCCCTGATGTCTCTGTTGAGTGTGGAACACGTCGATCAGCTTGCCACTCTACCCTCCGGTCACCGGCAAAATCACCATTAACGTGCTTAAACACTCAAATTACACTCGAGGGAGGGTATCCAACCCTTCACCAAAACACACAATCTTTCTATCAGAAAAGATATAAATCAATCTGAAACAACAACAAATAGGAAGGTCAGATCACATCTCGTCCGGAAATAACATATAAACTGTCACTTTTTGTTTTTTACTGTTTTTGGTCTTTTTTGGATTTTTTACTGTTTTTTGTACTTTTCTATTTTTGATTAACTTTGTTTTTGGCTTTTTCTTGGTTATACGCTATTTTTGTTTGATTTTACGCTTTCTTTTTAATTGTTTTTGGTCCTGGGACCTCAGCACAAGCGGGCTCATGACTTCTCACGTAAACTTCCGGCCCCCGGAATTTTCGGTCTTAACTAAGTTAAAAAGTAAAAAAGTACTAGGCGGAGGGTACGCACTTTCCCCCTAGTACAAAAACGGTCATTAAGGCCTGTAACTCGGGCATACGCCCGGAGCGGAGGGTTCGTCGCTGAAACGCTTGCTGATCATGATGGTTTTATGCCTTTGACAGGCCCACCCAGGAGCGCCATAAAAACGTCTATGTAACATTCGCCCAAATACTACACAGCGACCGAGCGTAGAAAAAAGTACCTATTAACGACTGGCAGGCGTCAGTTACCTTAATCCTACTCGTTTTTCACCGTCTCGACCTTGCCAGTTGATTTTCTGGTCCGTCTAGGGCTAAGTAAAAAGTTACTATTTTTAGGCCATCAGTCAAACGACTTTTGATCAGCTTTCGTTTACATGCGAACACAACCACATAGCTGAGTCTCGGATCCTCAGACGGAAAGGTGGACAACTGAAGTCTCCCAATGGTTCAGACCCCAAAACTAATTTCTCAAGTCAAAACTCATTTCCTTTAATTAGGATTCATTGGTGGAAAACTTCTCGAGTTATATTCAATTGTATTTATGCTAGAGTTACTAATTGGCTTAATTACTCCAATCCTCAAGTGTGCTGCTATTTGAAAACTCAATTTAATTTTCCCGAGTGTGTTTTGTCATTGTTATGTTGAGTTAAGTCGAGTTTTTTGGTTGAACCATCTGAAATGGATCAAATTTCTACTGTCTAATAAAAAGTAACTTAACGGATTGTTCCGACCCTGTTTTTAACGGCGTTCGTGTATTTTGGGTATTTTGAGACCTAAGTATGGGGACGTTCTTATTTCTAGAGTGGGGGGATATTTTGGTTGTGGCCTTTAAGCTGTAACGGGTTTTAGTCTCATGTCGCAAGTGAACCGAATTGGCTCCGACCGTTTTGAGGTAGAAAAACACAAGAGATAGTGTCCCTGACTCTTGAGCCAATGGTTATAGGGCCTATTTTTCTTAAGCCTCATATGTGACCGAAGTATACGAATGTTACATAGTGTTTTTATGGCGCTCCTGGGTGTTTTTACGACATCATGACTACGGAGTCGAACCCACTTGACACAGCTTCGGGCTGCATGGCCATCCTAGAGTACCGGTGGCACGGTTCAGCGGGAACGTGTAAACCTTCCGGTTGTACCGTGATAGCTTTTTAAGAAAACTCGAGAAAACTTCCTGGTACGCTCTCCGAACGAGGCTTAGCTAACCGAGTAAGGGGGGGGGGGGGGGTAACTAGGGGGACAAAAACACGAGCAAAAAGACAAAAAGTGAAACAAAAAACTAAAAAAGAATAGAAAAAGGAACAAAAACTATAAAACAAAAAATGACAGTGACTTTGACACCAGATTAGTTGGATCAAACCTTTATATTAATTAAATAGTATACCCATACTGTTTTATAAGACCGATCGCTTCGATCAACCTAGCAATCTAATCCAGCAACCTCAATAAGGTGCCCGAGTGGGGGGCGTTGTTAAGGGTTTTCAGATAGCTTGCAACTTAGCTGGAAAACTAGGAGACTTGACTGGAAGAGGTGACCAGCCGAGTGGGAAAGTGGTTCACAAGGATTGAGCTGAACCACTAGGAGACTTGACTGGAAGAGGTGACCAGCCGAGTGGGAAAATGGTTCACAAGGATTGAGCCGAACCGCTAGGAGACTTGACTGGAAGAGGTGACCAGCCAAGTGGGAAGATGGTGCTGGTGACAAGTGCAGTGCACGTCAAGGAGACAACCAGCACGGAACCAGAACAACAAGAGGAGGACGCGACGGGGTGTTCTCAAGTTGGTCAAAACGGGTATCGTTAAAATCCACATTACATTGTAGGAAATAAGTGTAAAATCGGATAAGCGGAACCCCACTGTTTTGAGGAACGTTTTTACTCAAGCAGGCCTGGAAACAGGTTCTACGGTTTTCTCTCAATAGGTTTAGCACCCGGCGCTTAAGGTAAATTTAGGCTTAAGAGGGGGGCTAAAGAGGGGGGAGGTTAAAAGTGGGGCTGGTTAGGTTAGAGGTTGGCCGTTGTAAATTGTAAAAAGGGAGGACATTAAAGTAACTAATTAATCGACATCGTTGATTTACTTAGATTAGAATCTTACACGCGTCAATTATAAGAAGCGGATATCCAAAATAAGATCAAATTAAGGTAGGTACCACGGTCAGATCAGGTGGGGGGCACGGAAGCGGACCCGGACAGAAAAAACCCCATAAGATCGTTAGCAGGGGGGAGGAAAACGCGTGGCAATCAGGTACCAGACATTTTTTTGAAAAAAGGTTGACATCTGTCACCTTTGAATTTTAGGTGGGTACATCTCTCTGTTCTTCATTATTATTCCTGTTTAAATTTTTACGTTTTGGTGAAAATTTGTTATTGGTTTTTGAACGAACAGGTGATCACAAGATACCTGCGATTAAGTTGGGTTTCAACTTGCCTGAAACATCGAAAGGGAGATAAATACAGGGGGGTCCTCCTTTTCTTGCATCAAGAGATCTGTCCAGTCGCCTAGGGGCCAGAATTGATTC